ATATATATGAATTAAAGTGAAATAATGTTCTACAAAGAGTGAATGATTTCTTTCCTGCTGGCCCTCAATGGTAGAGCACTTCCCTAGCATGTGAAAGACCCTGAGTTCAACTGCCAGTGCCAAAAAACTAAAACAAACAAAAAATTGAACCAACTTTGAAAAGTAGAATTTTTTAAATTTCCAGTTTATTTTATTTTTCTTTTTAGCTCCTTTGCCTTTTAGTTGGATTTCTTTTTTTGGGGGGGGTGTTACTTTTTTATATTTTAAAATTAATTTTATTAGTACATTTTAGATATACATAATGATAATATTCATCATATGGAATTTGTACCTGTATATGATATATCTTGATTCTTCTTTTTTCCCCCCTTTCCCTCCCTCCCTTCAAATTCCCATTTTAATGTAAAAGAACGGCAAAGGTAAAAAGTAGTAATGAAAAACAGGTAGAACAACAACAAAATATTAGATTTAAATTAAAATGCAATGATAATTATAGTAAATGTTTTCCACAGTCTAATTAAAAGGTAGATTTTGCTGGATAGAGTGGTACATGCTCATAATCACAGCTACTGGGAAGGCTGGGGTAGGAGGACAGTGAGTTCAAGGCTGGCCTATGTAACTTAGGCGTGGTTACAAAAGGGTTAACATTTTCAGCACCCAAACTTCTTTGACAACCCAATTCTTTCCAGCATGTACTTGGCAGTCATAAAGCACTGTACCAATGAGGAGTGAAAAACAGAAAGAGATAAAAGTGAATACAAAAACCATCCTTTCCTCCCCTAAGCTAATGTTCTATCTTTTTCTAAAAGGCTAAAACATACAGACTTCCTTAGTTAAATCTAAAGAGCCTTTGTGAGGCCTAAGCAAGAGGCCTTGACAATTAGCAACTTTGATGTACAATTCTAGTTACAATACTGGTGTTCTTGAAGATTAACAAAGAACAAGATGCTTCGAAAATGCATTTCTAAGATATCTACATTTGCCAACTCTGACCCTTTCCTATCTCCTCATTCCCTTGTAAAAAAAGTAAATAAATAAAAATTTCTCACCCCTGACTAAGCAATTCCTCTCCTGATGTCCATTTTGACAGGGCACTCAGTGACCTAAATAAACTCCTGTCCTGCCTGTATTCCTTGTCTTTTTTTTTTTTTTATTCCTTGTCTATTGATAAATTCCTCTACCTTCTGCCTGTGAGCCTTCTGGCCCAGAATTAGAGAGACCTTTCCCCCATCCCCCAAAGCAAAATTAAATGCTGGTCTGGATCTCAATGGCAGAGTGCACCACTAACATACACAAGGCCTTGGATTTCACCTCTTGTACCACAGGAAAAAAGCAAATATTGGGGCTATGGATGTGGTTCAGTGGTAGTGAGCACCTCCCTGACATGCTTGAGGCTCTGCATTTACTATTCATCACCAAAAAAAATTTTTAAAGGAATGGTAGGTAGATTTAGTTTTTAAAAGAAGTCCTAACTATATGCATTCAATAGGACATCCACTTTAAGTGTAAAGACACAATGCAGAATTTTTAAGCAGAAGAAAAAGTATTCATTACATTTGATCTGGTGTAATTACTAAAATCTCAAAATGCATTACAACAAGAAAAATGTCTACTTAATTAATTAAAATTGAAGAGTAATAAAAAGATCTAGGGCCAGGGATTTAGCTCAGCGGTTCCACCACCTGCCCTGCAAGTACAAGGACCCGAGTTTGATCCCTGGTACCAAAACAAAACAAATTTAAAAACACAGTAAGAGTTTTTCCATCTTCAGAGGGTGACATTGCCAGTGTTAAAAGAAAATTGAAAGAGCAACATTCATATCAGAAAAAGCAGACTGCAAGGGCTGGCGATGTAGCTCAGTGGCGCCACGCCTGCCTGGCAAGCACAAGGTCCTGACTTCAATCCCAAGCACCAGAAAAAAAAAAAAAAAAAGAACGATCATAAATATATTATGATCCTGCATGTGATGCTAATATTTCTTACAGCCCACTAGAAATGAAAACATTCCTTGAAACATACACATTACCAAGAGAGATACAATAAAAGTAAAAAACCTGAACAGCCCTAAATTCACTAATGTAATAGAATTCAATAGAGTTTTTAATCTCCTGGAAATCTGTTTCCATCTGTTTTATGGATTCCATTTGTTTCCTATGTTGGGATTCCATCGTGTTCCTGAGCTCCTCTATTTTTTTAATCTGTGTCTTCTCTAGATTTATTAATCATGTCTTCTACTATGGGCACAATCTCTGCTATTATCAGAGAAATTATTTCTGATTTCATTTTTTCCAGATCCTCTTTTGTTGCCAGCTCAGAGAGTATCAGAGTGTTCCATCTCCTTTCCCTTTGGGGTTGCTGTAGGTGATCTGGAAGTCTGGTTTTGAGACTTATTTACGTGTCTTCTCATTTCTACCCGGGATGTGGGGGGCGGGGCTGTGGGCAACCGTGCGGCACCGTGCGGCTCACCTCCTCTGGGCTGGGAGCAGTGGAACAGTGGCCTGGAAGCCCCTACCTCTGGGCT